TTATTTTGCTTGAAAACAAAAAAGGCATATCTTACCTAAATATTTTTGAGGTGTTGCTGTAACTAGAGGAAAACAGAGATTAGGGTAAAAAATACTTTTAACAAAAAATACATTTTAAAAAATGTATGAGAAAATTGTGACAGTGTTAAAAGTCTAGAGGAAAGAGAAATCTGTAAGATTAACTCCAAAGAAATAAAACTGTGATACGTACTTTTTTGGCAATGTAGGTAGTTTAGGTAAGAGAAGATTTGATTCATCTTCAGCATTATAAAAGGATGTGAGAACACTAAAAAGGAAAAAAGTATCATAAAACACGAAAGATTTCACTTCTCCATTAAAAAATGTTAAGTTTTTTAAAAAAAGATACTTAGTTTTACATTACCAAGTAAACAGATGCCACAAATCTTTTACCATTATAGAACACTCACTGTAACAATCACAAATGAGAAATTGAAAAGTAGGAAGTTCTTTGTTATTTCTGCAAGAAAAATTCAGCCTATTTTACATTTAGAGGAATGAATATTAATTAATAAACAATTGCCTCAGCATATGAAATGTATTCATATGTATGCGGTATTCAGATACTGACTGAAAATTTATGATTTCTTAACTCTCATTTAAGAACCCACACTAAGCATATGAGCACTAAGAGTAATTTTAAAGAACAGTACAATTACTATATCATTTAATTATTGGTTCTGTGGCTTATAGTAAACTTTGGGATTTGATATCCCAACAGATATATGAGACTACCTCATATACTTTGAAATAGTTTTATTTATCCCCTTTTCTTTCTCAATTCTACCTCCAAATAAGGTTGGAAATAAATACATAAAAAAGTGGTGACTTGGCAAGAATTTTTTTCCCACTTTACAACAAAATAGCTGATTTACCCTGGAATCTCCGCATTTCTAAACTGTTAATAGAAAGTGTGCTGGGAATACATTTAGCAGGTAACTGGGCTGGGACAGGAATTACATGGTACACTCTGCTCCTCTAACCTTCTATAAATTCATGTAACCATTTGCAATCCTTCACTATCGGATAATGGATTAATCGCTCTGGTTTACCTATAGAGAATTCCAAACCCCAGGCTAAATCCCTCTCATCCAATTCTTTCAGGCCTCCCTTAGGAAAGTTGCCAACTAATATTCATGATTTTCAAATTTATTTGATAGTAACTTAGTGAAATTTAATTAGAAAGGAAAAGCTAATGGAAAGAAAATTATCTTATTTCCCCAAAAAAGGAAAACAATTTTTTCCCCCAATATTAGCCAAACCCACTAATTTCTTAGGCTACCTTTACTGCAAGCCTAGTGTATCACTTGTCTTTATAAAATAAGGCAAAATTGTTTTCATGAAATAAGAAAACTATCAGGACCATGGACGAAGAAAGAACCTGTGCAGCATCAGAACAGAATGTTCAATTTAGCACTTTTAGAATTTAAAGTTTCAATTTTAAAGTTTAATTTTAAAGTTTCAAGTAATATTAAGTTACTGATTAGCAAATTGAGGTTCTTTTCTGTTTCACCATTTATTTCATCTGGAGCTTGTTTTTTGTGTCTTAGGAAATATTCTTAGAGTATGAAAAATGGGCCGGGTGCAGCAGCTCACACCTGTAACCCTAGAACTCTGGGAGGCCAAGGCAGGAGGATCGCTTGAGGTCAGGAGTTTGAGACCAACCTCAGTAAGAGCGAGATCCCGTCTATACTAAAAATAGAAAGAAATAAACCAGACAACTAAAAGTAGAAAAAATTAGCCGGGCATGGTGGCACATGCCTGTAGTCCCAACTACTTGGGAGGCTGAGGCAGAAGGAAGGATTGCTTGAGCCCAGGAGTTTGAGGTTGCTGTGAACTAGACTGACGCCACAGCACTCTAGCCCAGTCAATGGAGCAAGACTCTGTCTCAAAAAAAAAAAAAAAAAAAAAAATTGGCTCTAAGTACTTCAGGAGCAGTTAAAAAAAGAGAAAAAAATGACTACAAAGAGAGAAGTCTTGGCCATTCAGGAATTATTGCTCCAGTAAGAAAATAAAGCCATACCTCATTTTATTGTGCTTCCCTGAAAGTGTGAATTCCCCAAGGTTGGTGACAACTTGGCATCAAGCAAATCTACTGGTGCCATTTGTTCCAACAGCATGTGCTCACTTCCTATCTCTGCATCACATTTTGGTGATTCTTGCAATACTTCAAATTTTTTCATTATTATGATATCTGTTACGGTGATCTGTGATCAGTAATCTTTGATGTTTCTATGGTAATTGTTCTGAGGCACTACAAACTATGCTCATAGAAGAGAGTGAACTTAAACTTGTGTGTTCTGACCAACCCACTGACTGCCCGTTCCCGTCTCCCTCCTTCTCCTTGAGCCCCTCTATTCCTCAAGACACAAAAATATTAAAATTAGGCCAATTAATAACCCTCTATGGCCTCTAAGTGCTCAAGTGAAAAGAATAGTCTATTTGCTTTAAATCAAAAGCTAGAAATGATTAAGCTTAGTGAGATAGGAATGTCAAAAGCTGAGACAGGCTAAAGGGTAGGTTTTTTGCACCAAACAGTTAGCTAAGTTGTGAATGCAGAGAAAAAGTTCTTAAGAAAATTCAAAGTGCTCCTCCAGTGAACACAAAAATAGTAATAATGTGAAACAGCCTTATTGCTAATACAGAGAAAGTTTTAGTGGTCTGGATAGACAAAACCAGTCACTTGTCCTTAAACCAAAACCTAATCCAGAGCAAGGTCCCAAATCTCTTCAACTCTATCAAGGCTGAGAGAGATGAGGAAGCTGCAGAAGAAAAGCTGGAAGCTAGGAGAGGTTGGTTCATGAGGTTTAAGGAAAGAAGCTGTCTCTGTAACATAAAAGCGCAAGGTGGGCCAGGAGCAGTGGCTCACGCCTATGAACCTAGCACTCTGGCAGGCTGAGGCAGTGGGATTGCTTGAGCTCAGGAGTTCGAGACCAGCCTGAGCAAGAGTGAGACCCCCATCTCTACTAAAGAAATAGAAAAATTAGCTGGGCATGGTGGCGCACACCTGTAATCCCAGATACTCGGGAGGCTGAGGCAAGAGGATTGCTTGAGCCCAGGAGTTTGAGGTTGCAGTGAGCTACAATGACATCACTGCACTCTACCCAGGGCAAAAGAGCAAGACTCTGTCAATCATCAATCAGTCAGTCAGTCAGTCAATCAATAAATTAAAAGTGCAAGGTGAAGCAGCAAGTGCTAATGCAGAAGCTACAGCAAGTTATCTCAAAGATTGGCTAAGATCATTGATGAAAGCAACTACATTGAACAAATGATTTTCAATGTAGACAAAACAGCCATATATTAAAAGAAGATGACATCTAGGACTTTCCTGGCTAGAGAGGAGAAGTCAGTGCCTGGCTTCAAAGCTTCAGAGGACAGGCTGGTTCACTTGAGAGGGGATAATGCAGCTGGTGATTTTAAGTTGAAGCCAATGTTCATGTACCATTCCAAAAATCCTAGGGTCCTTAAGAATTATGCTAGATCTACTCTGTGTTCCATAAACGGAACAAAACATGGTTCACTGAATATTTTAAGCCACGGTTGAGACACACTGCTCAGAAAAAAGATTCCTTTCAAAAGACTACTGCTCATTGACAATGCACCCAGTCACCCAAAAGTTCTGATGAAGATGGACAAGGATATTCAGGCCTGCTAACACGACATCCATTCTGCAGCCCATGGATCAAGGAGTAATTCTGACTGTCAAGTCTTGTTATTTTAAACATACATTTCATAAGAATAGAGCTGCATAGTGATTCCTCTGATGGAAATGGGCAAAGTAAACTGAAAACCTTCTGGAAAGGATTCATCATCCCAGATGCCATTAAGAACATTTGGGATTCACAGGAGGAGGCCAAAATATCAACGTTAATAGGAGTTTGGAAGAAGTTGATTCCAACCCTCATGGATGACTCTGAGAGGTTCAAGACTTCAGTAGAGGAATTAATTGCAGATGTGGTGAAAATAGCAAGAGAATTAGAAGTACAGCCTGAAGATGTGACTGCATTGTCATAATCACGTGATAAAACTTGAATGGATCAGGAGTTTTTTCTTAGGGCTGAGCAACAAAAGTGGTTTGAGATGGAATCTACTCCCAGTGAAGATGCTGTGAACACTGCTGAAATGACAACAAAGGATTTAGAATATTACATTATCCTAATTGATAAAGCAGCAGCAGGGATGGAGAGGATTGACTCAAATTTTGACAGAAGTTCTACAAGTGGGTAAAATGCTGTCAAACGGCATCATGTGATACAGAGAAATCTTTCAAGAAAGGAAGAAGGGATCAATGTGGCAAATTTCATTGCTGTCAACTGCCACAGCCACCCCAACCTTTAGCAACTACCACCCTGATCATTCAACAGCCATCAACATCAAGGCAAGAAAGCAAAAAAAA